GGGGGGGAGTCGGGGGGGAGAAGCCGGCGAGGAGGGGCACCGCGGCCGGCGCTAGCGACGGGCGGAGGCGGCAGCGAGCACGCGTGGTTGACAGGAGCGGCGTAGGGCAGGCAACGCGGCCGGCTGGCACGGGCGCGGGGGGGGGCAGGAGCGGCGGTAGTGGTGGGCGCGCACGGGGAAGGCACGCGAGTCTGCGGGCGTGGGTGCGGCCAAGGGTCAGGGCTGTGCGCAGGTGATGGTGGGCGCAGCAGGTGCGGACAACGGGCGCGATGCGACGACGGGCAGCGGAGTACGGGCCGACGCGGAGCTGCAGCAGCGGCGCCGGTAGCAGCTGCAGGGCGGGGCGGGGAGCAGCGCAGCACAGGGCGGCGAGCACGAGTGCGAGCTCAGACGCGAGCTTCGCAGGCAATGGCCACGGCGGTGAGTTGAACCGCGGCAACAAGCTACGGCATTGGTGGAGACTACTATTATGTGCACGGGAACGAAGGAGGAAAGGGGGGTCGAGGGGAGCGCGGCCTCACGGTGATTCGTCAGGGAAGGGCAGCGGGCTCGGGGAGGCTTCGTCAGCGACGAATCGAACGGCGAGGTCCGGCGAGGCAGAGGTTGATGGCGACCTCACGGGGCTTGGTGCAGAGGCTCCCAACCTCTATGGGAGGCACCTGGAGGCATAGAGGACGAAGGCGGTGGCGCTGGAGCCCCCCGGACTCGTCGGTGTGGCGAGCGGCGAACGGTGGCCATGTGCACGGCGGTAGCGCGACGATGACTACGCTCAGACTCGCGGGGAATTTAGGGGAAGAGGGGGAGAAGTGCGAGAGGGAGTGGCGCTAGGGTTTGCCAGGGGGTGCTCGGGGTCCTTATCTTCGCGGGGCGCCACCGGATGGCCGGCGTGTGGCTCGGGGGGACGACCATGGCCGCGGGATGGCCGCCGCGCCCTCCCCCTGTATCCTGTAGCGTGAGGAGGGAGAGGAGGTGAGGTGGGATGCTGGTGTTCTGTGGCCTCTAGGGCCCAGATGCACATTAGTTAGTTAGGCCCTTTTACCAATTTTATTTTTCTGTTTTATAATTTCCTCACAGTTTTATATTTAAAAAAATATCAATTGAATTTTTTTGACAAAGAAATTTGGCACATAATTATTAGTCATAATTTTGGAGAGGCCCACAAAGTTTGAGGTCAAAAGAATTTGTTTAAATATTTGTTTATTTTGAAAAGGCTATTCTATTTACTGTTGGGCCAGTTATTATTTTCCTAGGAATTTATTTGTGAGTCAAATGAGGTTGGTTTCAACATGAAGATGATCAGGGGAATTTATAGAATTATGTGAACATTTTAGTTTTAACTTTTGAAAACTTTATTTGTTTGACTTTATTTTTTGAATTTGAATTTCGAATCGGTTTCGGATTAACGTGGGGTTAACATCAGTGACATCGGTGACATGGCATCATTAGTAGAGGGTTATTGTTGTAGAATTATCCGGACGTCACAGCGATGAAGTCGGCCAGTACTTGGGATTTGATGGCTCGTCGTGGCTTGTATGTTATGTCGAATGGAAGTAGCTCTATGGCCCATTTGGCAATCCGTCCTGTGGCATCGCGGTTGTTTATTATGTCATTGAGTGGGACCTCAGAAGGCACCATGATTGAACACTCCTGGAAGTAGTGCCGTAGCTTGCCGGATGCCATGAAGACCGCGTATGCTATCTTTTGGTAGTGAGGGTACCGGGATTTGCACGGTGTGAGGATAGTTGATACGTAGTATACTGGTTTTTGGAGCGGAAATTAGTGTCCGTCCTATTCTCATTCGACGACGAGCACGGCGCTCACCACCTGATGTGTTGCCAATATGTATAACAACACGGGCTCGCCAGTGTTTGGTGCGGCCAGGATTGGGTTGCTTGCTAGGAGGGCCTTTATTTCCTCCAGTCCTGCAGTCGCCGCGTCTGTCCATTCGAAGTTATCAGTGCGCCGTAAGAGGCGATAGATTGGTAGTGCCTTTTCTCCTAATCGGAAGATAAAGTGGCTTAGTGCTGCTATGCATCCAGCTAGCTTTTGGACCTGTTTGAGGTCTGTTTGTGTAGCCAACTATGACACCCGTCAACCGAAGAAGGAGAATATGATGCGCTTAATTGAGTGCCAAAATCTAGATGTAAGTTTGGAAGAAATCCATTTGGACTAGGGTTGGCCAACGGATTCATTTGAAGGAAGACAACGTGAACCTCTTGGTCGAAGAAAGGGTCATTGAGATGTCTTAGTTAGGGTAAGTAATTAGGGTAGGTTCACTAGATGAAGACTATATAGGAGGAGGGGGCAGGAGAGCCGAGCAAAGTGAGGAAGAGATATTTCAGGAGTCATCATTGCTGCATCGACACTTGTATTATTTCTAGACAAGGAGCTTTCCCTAAATTGTGTGCTGCAAGGTGACAACCACAACAATTCAAGTTGTCATTTAGTAGGAGAGAAAGGATTTTATCATGTTGTTCACATCGAGCAGACCACATGGTTACGACTAGATTCATGCTAATGGGTCGGAAAATTCTTCTAACCCAACATTTGAGACCTGCACGAGAAAATACTTCTGTCCCAACAATGTGCCTAACATCTAACATGCACTCGTATAGCTGGTTTGACACCTGGTCATCAACCATCATATATGCTAGTAACAGGGAATCCCACAAACAAGTCACACACATGCTGATAAATACACATGAGTTTATTCAATGAAGAGTGAATAAACCATAAATACAAAGGATATTGTTTACATCTACGAGTGCCGATTGGGCATATATATGTTTCTAACAACACTATATGCCACCGTGCCACAAATAATACTAACAACATGTGGCGTGGAGCACAAAACTATGCTCAAGGGGAAGAAGTTCACAAGATAGAACAATAGTTCCCCGTTCTTGCCCTTGTCGCGATAGTATTACTACATCAATGCTTCGTGCTGCCCCTAGCAAAGTGTGGTCCGAAGGTGCACATAAGACCGACGACGGTGGCTGCGTTAAGCATGAAAAAGACAAGGTGGTCTCCTGCGGGATTCACAACAGATACCAGGAAAATTGCTTAGAGTGAACCAAAGCTAGGGAATATAAATTTTGGGTGATGCTGAAATCATAGCATAACCCATGCATGTTCAAGATAATATACTCAAATAGGATATACCTTAACCAAAATTTAAGGTGTGATACTAAACCAGTGAATACGATCTTGTTTACTATGTTGTGTTATTTTGGTATGCATATGTGTTTCCGTAAGAACTGCGACTGAAGTCCTCTTGCACTAAAAATCTAAGCTTTGAATAGAAAAACCAATCATGCCTGTGAGAATTTAAGAGATGCCCTTCGAAAGTACCATTACACGTCTCGCTTTGTATAACACATTCAACTCAACCAATTTCTAGCTATTCCTTATACACAGATATATACGCAAAGCATCCATGAAGCATGAATTTCTATGTTTTCTACCACACGACAAGAGCCATAAGCCATCCTTTAACCAAAAAAATACAATTAAACTATTTCATGTCATGAGATAGATTTCTAAAAATTTATAGGAAAACGGTAGATAAATTAGATGTGTAGCTAATTCATGTAAATTTACTTAAAATGTATAAACAATGTAATACCTGGAAGAAATGAAGCAGTTTGGCGCCTTTGAGCCCATGAAAATCTACAATGAAAATTGTAAACCATGATAAGGTAATTGTTTCCCCAAAAAATTGAGCGCGAAAAAAACAAGGGTTAACAATAGAGTTTTATTTCATGGTGTATACAAGTTTATAATTTTTAAAATCAAACAAATAAATTACTCCCTAATTAATTGACGCTTACTTAGTACAATCTTTTTCGAATATTCTTAGTACAAAATTTGGATCGGAGGGAGTAGCATCTATTTAACTTTTCATCGTCAATGAAATGATTAAAAAGCTATTTGGGAAAATGACACAATGTGTGTTTTCCAAAAGAATGTTGATTGTGACTGCTATATGTTCCTTTGTTGTTGCAATACATAGTGAGTAAAGTGGTGGACCATGGCAACTTACATAACACCTGCAACAGCCGGAGCGACAGCTTTGAAGATGGACATTAGTGTTACAGAAAGTCCATTGGCCGATGCTCTTAGGTCTTGACTCTGTTTTTTTCATGTATATCGAAAGGTCAGAAACATAGAAACTAATATCATCAATTTTCATGGAACATATGGAATGCAACTTTTGATATAATTACAAAGTATTAGAAATCATGCAAACTTACCACAGCATCATTCATCAAAATATTGCACACCGTGATGGTAGTTACCTGCAATATTTCAAAAGAGCATGAGTAACACTAATTAATAATCGCTACCTTGAGTTCTAGTATATAACATATAAGCATAATAGTAGTGGTGGGTAGCATAATAGTAGTGGTGGGTAAGATAATAAACATATAAGCAATCGAAATATTTGTCAACATATGAGTAATTAGTAGTTTTATGATTTTGTTGCTGGCTTGCGCCAATTAGTTGCTGAGAACACTATTTACGTGTATTAATTAGCAATCACTCCGATAGATAGACCAAAATTGGAATATTTTTCATAATATGAACCGGTAGCAGGTCCAAGTTTGAACACTTGTTCTGCACAAGAAAAGCAAGATCTTTGCACTCACTTGGAAGGAATTCTTTAGAGAAGATGCACAATTTACTACCAACTGAAGATTGAACCCTGATAATGTAGTCATGAATGGATAGCTCGCAAGAAGTGGTAATGTCAAGATCTGCATATGAGAATTTTTTATGAGTTGAACCATTACAATATATCTTTACTGATCAGTAGTGGATATTCTTACCGCAGTTGCACGGACTAATGTGATAGGTTCTATAGCTTTTGCAACCGATGGATAAATCAAAATCTGGTATATTAGGAGGAAGAGACCTGATAAAAACGACAATCAGAACAACAAACTCTCCATGTAACAGAACATATATATAACGATGCCTGAAACATGATTTATCGAGTTACTTGTGAGTTATCATGAACACATGCTTAATATTTGAATATGGTTCTAGCATGGCTTAAATCTTGAAATTAAGCATCTGCCATGGGAATGGGTCAAATCAACTTAGATAAAATTGCCTCATTAGTATTAGTGCCATCAACAAGTAAATATATTTATACATAGATTCTAATCTTATAGATTTTGTATGGAAACTTCCATGCATGCCTATCAGTACACATCTATGATAAAAATAACCATATATACATGGGCCTAGAATGCTAGATCCTCTCTAGGTTCCTATCTCCAAAATTGTCTATGATGTTCAAAACTTTAAATCTTAAACAAATATATATTGGTCATGACTTATAGATTCACTATTGTAAATTTGGAGGGACCTTTCCTATTGTTCTTACAATTAAATACCTGAGAGTGCAAGGACACTGCCCACATCTGTAGAAGTAAAGCTTAATCCACCATATTTCCTATCGCTAACAGCCCAAAGAGAGAATACCTGCAATTTTATGTTTTGACCAAATCAAATCCATAATGACAATGGTAATGGTAATGCAACAAAAGATACAGAAAAAATAAGTGAAACATGATATGCTATCTTAGGAAAGAGAAGGTATGATAAATGTGAGTGGAGGATATATCAACAATCAAATGACTCATGTTACCTCTGCATAAGCCACATCCTGAAGCGAGAAAAGACAATATACGGTGATAGCAGACATCAATGGCCAGTTTGTGAACAAACTCCAATATCCACCACTACTTTCTTCAGCATTAGAGCCGGAAAGAGATTCTTCCATGGCTTCAATCGAATTATTTGAATATGTCGCTTCATTGTGTTTATGTAAAGTTTCCTATAGCATTTCAAACATGTTCATTTAAAAATGAGATCTCCCACAAAGAAATGTAAAGATGAGGTTATATGTACAACGACGGTAAGGTCTTTGTTGAAATATTATAGGGTGCGTACAACTATATTAAATGCCTTAAGCAACTAAGTTACTCATATCCTTGGTTGGTTGCCTCAACACCACTCATGACAATATCTAAGGGCATTATGGCACAAGAAAACTCACTGGAAGCCAGATGCAAGAAATTAAAGCAGCAACGGCGAGGATTGATATACACAGGCATGGGAGAAAATATGGAAACCTAGAACAATGTGAGTTTAAATAGAATTAGCATCACATAATAAACCGACATAAAAAGGGTGCACATAGCAAATTCTTACCTCCCGAATATATATTCCTGAGAGAACATGCCTGGATATTTATCTGCTGGCTGATATGAAAACAATAGACAAATACAATTAGCTTGCAAGGCCCGTAACATTTTATTTTACAATAATTTTATGCAAACATTAAATTCTTTTAAAAAGGAACATATGGGCTTGGTTGGATTGCACGCTTTGTATTTGGCAGATTGAATTTGACTACTAATTCTAATTTCATGTGGATGAGAACTACAACTCGAGATCAACTTCGATTCATATGCTGGAAAGCCATGAATTTTTAGACCATATTTTGTATGTACAAGTCATTCGAAAAGTCATTTGGTTCAACGCTTTGATACTATGACAAAATAATTTAATGCGAGTAGCACACATCCAATATAATACATGATACTGATACTATGATGTACTAATTATGTCATGATATTATGTTACGTTAATTATGTTACTCACATAATTTATTAGGTATTGTAACATTTCCATCTTATGGTATGTTATATAGTGGCAGAGCCATGTTCAGGCCAA